TTACGTAACTCGCGTTACTTGTAATGCGTTCCCCCCAACACTGCTTATGAGTGTAAATGCGTGTGTTATTTCCCTCTCACAGATGACGTAACCCCCTCCAAACATGCAATCATCCAAACTCTGGTTAACCTTAGCAATCCCAAAAAGGCAAACATGGCATGTTGCGTCCCAACCAAGCTGGATCCAATTGCAGTTATGTATCAAGAAAAGGGTGTCATTACGGTCCGACACCTCTATGAGGAGATGAAAGTAGCAAAGTGTGGATGTAGGTAGTTTTGCCTGCTTATCCATGCATCTGTATAAAACATCTTTGCAACAGCATTTGGTCTATCATTCTGGGAATGTAATAGTTTACAGATTACAAGGTACCCTATTTAAAATGGAATAACTATTTTAGTTACTTTGATTACATTTGATGTTTGATGTTTTCAACTGTTGATTATTTTCAAACATGTAAAGCAGGCAGGGTTAACCTTACAGTAGAACTCAACACTGATTACCATCAGACTGTCAAAATCCCTCATCTCTTGAATTAAGATTATAATCATTTAATTTTAAAGCACAGCCACCACAAAAGCAGACTTTAGCACCTCTTCTTATTTTGAGATCATTCTGAGGTAAAATACAGATTTAAAATGATAAAATATAGTTTACAGGGTTTTTGTTTGTTTCAGCTGCTTACAGACACTAATACTCAGCTTTTAATTCGGTTTTCAATTTCATAAAACACTTTTTGCAAAACACTACACACAATTCTCTGTGTAACACACAAATTTAACAGGAATTAATATTATGGCAAAGGTGTTTGCAAATGTTTGCTTTTGAGACGTGTTTGTGAGATTTTGAATGCAGTGCTTCAAGAGATGTGAGGCATTTTGCATTTTGTGTGTGTGATTCTTGGATTTGTGTGCAATGTTTTAAAAAAAAAAAAGAGGCAACGTTTTGAAAATTTGTGTAAGCAGTTGAAAAAACTGTAATAGTTATGATACTGTTTTTGAATTCAAATCTTTGCATAGCTATGACAGGAAACACTGGCATCTAACAATGCTTTGGACAAAACAGTTCATCTTAAAAAATTAAGCATATACATAAACCTAAATAGGAAATAAAACAGTTATGGAATAAGCATGTGTCCTATTCTGTGTGTGCGAGTGTGAGTGAGTGAGTGTGTGTGTGTGTGAAACTATTCAGATGTAATCCCCTTTGTAATAAGTAACTGTAATTTAATTACACATTTTTCTCAGCAACTGTAACTAATTACAGTTACATTTATTTTGTAATTAAATTACGTGATTCCATTACATGTAACTAGTTACTCCCCAGCACTGCCAATTAGTGAAATACACTCTAAATAAATAATCAAAAATAGAACCTTTTAGTGAACAGTTAAAAGAACTGTTTTCTCCTTATTGTGAAGAACATTTTAATAATCAGAAGAAGCTTTTTTCGATTACATCAATGGTTCCATGAAGAACCTTTAACATCCATGGAACGCTTCCGTTGCACAAAAAGGTTTCTTCAGATTATTCAAATGTTCTTCACACTAAAAAAAAAAGGTTATTTTAAGAACTGATCACTGAAAGGTTCTTTGGGGAACCAAAAGTGGTTCTTCTATGGCATCGCTGCAAAAAAAAACCTTTTAGAACCTTAATTTTTTTTTTTACTTTTGTGGAATGGAAAAGCTCCATGGATGTTAAAGGTTCTTCATGGAACCATAAATGACTATAAACACCCTTTTTAAGAGTTAAGATTAAATTAAGAGGTTTTGGTTAAAGTCAGCTTCCCTTACGTGATTAAAATGTTTTTGTGTTTTCATTTACAGTAATTTATGTAATCTCAGTAATCAGTAATCTCCTAAGGATTTTTGTTTTACATTATAATACAGAAACATACTCTCCACAAGTATGCAGAAACAGATGTCAATGCTTGGCCAAGCGTGCGTTGTACATACTAGCAAGAAACCTCAAGAGGGCGATAGAGTAATGGCCCCAAATGCTTGTGCCATAAAACAGGAGTTGTAGGGGTATAAAATATAATTGGGATTGGGCCTAAATCTAGTTTAAATCTCACAATATGTCCCACTTGTTCCAGACCAAAACATTCAGGATTGAAAACATTGATCCTCAAACAATAAACAAAATCCACCCTCGTAATTTATGAGGGCACAAACGTCATAGCATTGGTACATTTTTGCTTTGTTCATTTTTACATCATTTGCTTTTAAAACAAAAACAGCCATTCTCTAGATCATAAACAACTCAGGGACAGATAAGTCATGCTAACTAGATAGAAACGCTATCTCTAGCTTAGAAACATTTCCTCACGTCAGATGCACTGGACAAAAAGAGATTCGCATTTGATTGGCCACGTGGAATCAGCAGATAGAATTGCATAAGACTCTGAGCATTAAAAGATAAAGCAAGATTAACAGTGCAGCACCAATTAGTGTTGAGTGAGTGTGGAGTTATATAATTTCATCCTGTAAAAGTGGCCAGGGCCTCTAAATTCACACTAATGCTCTGATATTTAGGCAAATGCTAGAAAAGAATGGAGGGAGAAAATCTCTAAGCAGATTTTTAAAAACAACAATGACTGTTCTGCCTTTGAATAACACACAGTTTTTGCCAAAGAGTGAATAAATGATCTTTTTTCAGAAACATATTATGCAATCAAATCCACATACAGTTACTGCACCAAATTGTCAAGGTAATAAATCTATGTTATGGTTTCATGTAATGAGGCCAGCCAAGTGCATCGTAAGTGTTCATTAAATGGACGACTGTTTACCTGTGTAATAATGTCATTAGCCTGACCCAGACTTTACCTTTGAAAGCTTGACCTTATTTTCCTCATGCTGTGACGACAGGGCTGCGAGGACCATAATCCAAAGAGAATATATGTCGACTGTTTCTAATGTTTTATTGCTTAAAATGTTTTCAGCAAAACTAAAGTGGTCAACAACATTGAGACTAAATAAACTAGTTAATTGTGGAACAAAGGCTAAACTTTCCAATCAATATGCAGTACTTAAGCATTTTGTCTAACGATGCACTTTCTTTACAAACGAACATCTTGTTTTTACACAAAAATTAAAATTCGGTTATCATTTGTGACACTATAATTTTGACCCATACAATGTATTGTTGGCTATTGCTACAAATATACCCCAGCAACTTAAGACTGCTTCTGTGCTCCAGGCTCACATATATCATCTGTCATCACCTTCATGTCATTACAAACCTGTATGAACACAAATTTTAAAAAATGTTTCAACTGTTCATACAATTAAAGTCAATGGGGTCCAAAACAATACTGGAACCTATTGATTCTCATTGTGTGGACACAAAGACATTTTTCAAAATATGTTCCATAGACATATGTACGTGAGATTTGGGTGTGAACCTACCCCTTAAAGTCATGATGAAGCTGTGTATTTAGAGAGATGTGATATCCCTCCGACAATTATTGATTTTTATCTGTGATTGCATTGCTGATTCACTTCAGATAATGCAATTAAAGGTTTATTCAGAGCAAAAGCCTCTTATGTGGTTGCTGTTGTCAAAAACCTAGTAGAGAAAACAGAGTCCCATTTAACAACGGACCTCTTCACCAAATGAATGGACAAAAGACGGCAGGGACTGTAAGAGTTTTTGCCCTGATCATAGTCGCTTGTCAGGTCCTGCTCATCGATGCATCATTTCAGCCTGCACTTGTCTTGGACATGGCTAAAATTCTGCTCGAAAACTACTGCTTCCCAGGGAATCTAGTTGGCATGCAGGAGGCAATCCAACAAGCCATAAGCAGCGGAGAGATCCTACACATCTCTGATCGGAAAACACTGGCAGCTGGAATCAAGGTGCACTCAATGACCCCAGACTGACCGTGTCTTACGAGCCTAATTATATTCCAATCACGCCACCTGCACTTCAGTCGCTGCCCACGGAACAGCTGATGCGGCTAATCAGGAATACTGTTAAACTGGAGCTGAAGGATAACAACGTTGGTTACCTGAGGATTGACCGTATTATAGGTCAGGAGACTGCGGCCAAATTGGGACGCCTCCTTCAAGACAACATCTGGAAGAAGGTTGCCCATACATCAAAGATGATCTTTGATTTGCGTTTTAGCACAGCAGGCGAGATCTCCGGTGTGCCATACATAGTTTCATATTTTTCTGACTCTGAACCACTTTTGCACATAGACACAATCTATGAACGACCCACCAACACTACAAAGGAGCTATGGACAATGCCGAATCTCCTTGGTGAACGATACGAGAAGAGAAAAGAGCTGATCGTTTTAATCAGCAAGCGCACCACGGGCGCAACAGAAGCTGTTGCCTACATCTTAAAGGGGTCCTATTATGTTTTTTTCACTTTTTCAACTTTAGTTAGTCTGTAATGTTGCTGTTTGAGAATAAAAAAGATCTGCAAAGTTACAAAGCTCAAAGTCCACTTCAAAAGGAGATATTTTGTATAGCAGATGCAGGCTTGGTGAGCAGAAGAGAATTCTTTAAAAAACATTAAAAATCCTACTGTTCAAAAACTTTTGACTGGTAGTGTATGCAACATACACATTTAGCTTGTTATTGTCTAACTGAAGAACTTTGGCTAATGAGATTAAGGTTTTATTGTGAGGAAAAGCTTCTTATGCGTGTGTTAACAGAAACCTGACGGTCGAAGCAGACTCAGTTGACAAACCTCCCTGCAGAAGGACAGTTCAGCTGCGCCATAATAGCAGCAAAACAGAACAAAATGGCTCAAGCTCTACTTCTACTAGCATCGCTGCTGTTCTTCAGCAATGTGGCTCACTGTGATTTCTCTCCAACACTTATTGCGGATATGGCAAAAATTCTGATGGACAACTACTGCTCACCAGAAAAGCTCGCCGGCATGGAAGAGGCAATTGACGCTGCAAGCAGTAACACGGAGATCCTCAGCATTTCAGATCCTGCCTCCCTTGCCAATGTTCTGACTGATGGGGTTAAACAAACTATTTTTGATTCCAGAGTGCAAGTCACATACGAGCCAGGTTTCGTACCTGTAAAACCCCCAGCTATGCCTGACATCCCACCAGAGCAACTGGCCGAAATGATCAAAGGCACTGTCAAAGCTGAGGTCCTGGATGGTAACATTGGCTACTTGAAGATCCAACACATCATTGGAGAGGAGATGGCTCAGAAAGTTGGGCCTGTTTTGCTGGAGTACATCTGGGACAAAATCCTCCCAACATCCGCGATGATTCTTGACTTCCGCAGTGCAGTCACTGGTGAGCTGTCTGGAATCCAATACATTTTGTCCTACTACACCGATCCTGAGCCTCTTATCCACATTGATTCTGTGTATGATCGCACCTCCGATGTCACCATAGAGCTGTGGTCCATGCCGACCCTACTGGGAAAAAGGTATGGCACCTCCAAACCCTTGATCATTCTGACAAGCAAGAATACTCTTGGGATTGCAGAAGATGTTGTGTATTGCCTTAAAAACCTTAAAAGGGCCACCATCGTTGGGGAGAACACAGCTGGGGGAAGTATAAAAATCAACAAAATCAAGGTGGGTGACACTGACTTCTATGTGACTGTGCCAGTTGCTAAGTCTATGAACCCCATCACTGGCAAGAGCTGGGAAGTCAATGGAGTGGCACCAGATGTTGAAGTTACTGCAGAAGATGCCCTTGACGCTGCAATTGCAATCATTAAACTCCGTGCTGCAGGGTTGGTTCAGGCGGCAGCCACACTGGTTGCAGACAACTATGCATTTCTGAACATCGGGGACGATGTTGCTGAGAAGCTGGGAGCTGTTGCGGCCAGTGGGGAATACAACCTGATCTCCACAAAGGAAGAACTGGAAGCAAAGCTCTCTGCTGACCTCCTAAAACTGTCAGGAGACAAGTGTCTGAAGGCCATCCCCGCACTTCCTCCAAAGGTAAGTCTTAGGCATGAAATATTAGATATAACAATACATTGGTTGTTGAGGCAAAATTATGAATGAAGCTGTCCTTTAAATTCCAGAATCCCATGCCTGAGATGTTCATTGAGCTCATCAAAGTTTCATTCCACACTGATGTATTTGAAAACAACATTGGTTACCTTCGCTTTGACATGTTTGGAGACTTTGAACATGTTGCTAAGATCATTGCGGAGCACGTCTGGAATAAAGTGGTTGACACTGACGCGCTGATCATTGATTTGAGGTGATTATTCTATTGGATATGTGTATGTCGCTCTAATATGTACAAATTCCAGAAGTTTTAGTCCATAATGTGATATGACCATCCATATTTTAAGGAACAACGTCGGTGGGTCCACCTCCTCCATTGCTGGCTTTTGCTCATACTTCTTTGACGGTGACAAGCAGATTGTGCTAGACCACGTGTACGACAGACCCTCCAATACCACAAGAGATCTTCTGACCCTTACACAACTCACAGGTACATTACTAAAATGACAAGTTTTACTATTTGTGTTTATATGTTTATCATTTTACTTTAGATTGTTTGATCTATACCCAAAAAGTGCAGTGTCCTATCCTGTATGTCATATATTTGGTGGCCAAAATTATTAGAACACTAGTATTTTCAGCAGCTAAAGAATGGTTTTAAGTCAGTTATTTCTATCTTTTGCTGTAGTGTGTCAGTAGGAAATATCAGTTTACATTTCCAAACATTCATTTTGCCATTAATTGTAATAATGCAGTGAGATGTTTGTGCTGCACACAGAGATCTGATCTGATAATTCATCAGTCTGTCTGGAGTCACATGAAATGATATTTCCTACTGACACACTACGGCAAAAGATTTGACTTACTAGTGAAAATTTCACCACCACTGCATAATACTGCAAAATTAACTGTGCATTTCTACTGTTTATAGGCAGGAGATACGGCAGCAAAAAGAGCGTGATAGTCCTCACCAGTGGTGCGACCGCTGGTGCCGCTGAGGAGTTTGTTTTTATCATGAAGAGGCTGGGACGTGCAATGATTATCGGTGAAACAACCCATGGAGGTTGTCACCCCCCAGAGACCTTCAGTGTTGGCGAAAGCGACATCTTTCTATCTATTCCAATCAGCCATTCAGACACTGCTCAGGGCCCTTCGTGGGAGGGTGCTGGCATTGCCCCTCACATTCCAGTGCCCGCTGATGCTGCCCTCGACACAGCAAAGGGCATCCTCAATAAGCATTTTTCTGGCCAACAATAAGTTGTTCTCCTAAGCCTGTTATGGAAGCCAAATGATATTGCAAATTAGTTATTTAGAAGGATGGCATGTTGTGAAGATGCTGTCATGATCTGTGTAGATCTTTAAGGTAATGTTTAGAAAGTACCTTTTTCTATTCCTTTTCTTTGTTTCTGTATTATTTCGAACCCAAAGCATGCATTCTTTCAAGCACACTTGGTGGAGGAGAATGCAGTCAATGTTCTCAAAGTAATATTCAGTTTAGGCCTGTTCTAAACTTGAAGATATGTGTTGGGTTATTTGTGAACTAGTTTCCTTCGTGCAAAATGTGTAAAATTTGTTTACGCTTGCGTTGTAAACACCTATACACATGCATATTAACAAACTGAAAAATTTTCTTGAACTTGAATCTTTTTCAGTATAACTGGGGAAAATTGCGACTTTGGAGTTATATTGAAACCAAATGTTAAAACGTAATAAAAACCACATGGAAACTGTTCTAATTGTAATGTGTTTTAAAGATTAAATCAAAAATTCCTTACAACTGAGGTAAAACGGGTTTAACAAACATAAACCAATTCCAGACATACTTATGTTTCTGAAAGCCTCTTGTGATTTTTCCAGATTATTTTGATCAGATTATTTACGTCTACTTATCCGCTTGCAATCTCAACAAAAATCACAGTTACAACATAAACACTCACCCACACAACAAAAACAATGTTCATATTTGGCAAGTCAAAAATCCACTTTTTGCTCACTTGAGGTCATTACAAAACTATTATTTTTATACACATGTTTACTACACCTTTTCTTTCAGAAATAAGCAGCAAAGAACCAGAAGATGGTAGCACATATTCTTTATCAGTTGGCCAAAGTAAGCTGTCAAGCACATCCACTGCCATACTAACATTACAATTATGCAGCACCTGTTGACAACAGATTTTACTGGATTATAAATATTATCCTCAATACACTAATGGCACGTGTCAAAGGTAGAGGTCCAACAATAAAAATGGACTGCCATATAAGCTTTGTGTTCCTTCATGATACATGACCAGTTAAGTTCCCTTTCATGGGAACTTCGAACTGCGTCCTCTAGGTGATGTCAGACTCATTTTGGATAGTAAAGTTTATTGTTAAATTGTTAAATGCCCTTACATATCTCTGTCACCATTATAAGTGTTTGATCACCACATTTGAGTGATCATTGCAAAAAATGTGTTTATGTATAAAGTATATATTCTGTTTATGTTTATACTGTATTCTATATATACAGTAGTACCAGTCAAAAGTTTGGAGACACGAATGGGAAAGTGTCCAAACTTTTGACTGGTACTGTACTGTAATATACACAAAGAATATCGGCCGATATATCGATTTCGGCTTTTTTTACTCCCTAATATCGGCATCGGTCCCCCAAAAACCCATATCGGTCGGGCTTCTTCTGCCAACTCTGAGCCTGGGCTCTTTTCTCAAACGACTCCGTCTTTGCTTTGCACATTAACATCAAATATCAAGCGCTTGAACAAAATACTTCTGGCCTTTTAACACGTGGATTTAGTGCAGCAACAGTTCTTCAAAATCCCCCAAAACAACAAACCGGCTAGTGTTTTATATAAAGAAAACTAAACAGACACTTTGAAAGTGTTTTTTTTGTGTGGTGTTTTCCTGGACGTCGACATTCTGTGCAGTACATTTTGGGAATAGTGCATTTTCATCTTATCTCAAGTTTGGAGTTACAGGTTTCAGACTGATGTGAGTAAGGACTGCGTCAACATCCGCAAAACTCCTCTTCTTTGTGTGCATCCTCAGCAAAGGCTCTTTTTAGGGGATAATGTGAATGGCCGTCGGCTTTCTTGAGGATTGATGTTTTTGCAGTAAGAAACGATGGCGAGTTCAGTAGTGAAAATGTGTCTTGGCGTACTTTTCTTGGGACTTTTGTTGCTCACGCTTCCATCTGCGAGAGCGCAAGAAGATGTGGAGGAGGAGAGATCATGTCAGGGCGCCTTTGACTTGTATTTTGTCCTTGACAAGTAAGTAACTGTTACAATTCAATCGTTTTGCGCACTGTTGTTTGAACAAAGAATCCAGTCTCTCTCTCTCTCTCTGAACGTAAAGGAAAGTCAGTCTGTAAGTTATATCTTTAATCTTATTGCTCTAACAGCTGGTAAACTTTCTGGTATGCAACATAAACCTATCAATCACATATAAAGGCAACTTGATCTGTATGAAGTGCAAATGTTAGGGATGTTAAGCTTTTGCAGTCTGTCGGCCTGATGTTTTCCACACTGAGAGATACTGCCTGGATAAAGTAGGCCAGTACATTTCCATTCACATCCTCCGTCTTTTCCCCAAATTTCTCACATTCCGCATCACCAAAATAGATATTCAACAGATGTGCATTGTTTGGTATCACTTGGCTGGGTTCAATTAGAGTTCAAGGACAATGCAGTGTATACCAGACAACACATACACAACCAATGACTGTTTAACAGAAGTCATCCAGTTTATTTTTATTGTGCCAACTTGTTGTTTTGTGCTCTGTCTGTGTGTACTGATGAGAAGAGGGGTGGTACATGTGAAGTTTGCTGAATAAGCACTTCAGACGGTCACAACTTCATTCCTCTGTGGTTCTCTTTTCCTGCTTCTTATCCTTTACCATTGTTAAACAGACCCGGAAAAGCAACATCCTTTCCCACGATTTGACTGGGAAGATTATTTACTGGGTGTTTAATCTAATTGCAAATTTATTTAAAATGATAGGGTCAGTAAGTAAAGGCAACTTATGTTTTTACATTAACTCATCTAAAAAAATGGAGGAATTACAACTTTTTTTATGAGTAATATGAACTTGATTTAAGTCAGTTTAATGTAAGCAAAAAAATCTAAATATTGAGAAAATCGCCTTTAAAGTTGTTCAAATGAAGTTCTTAGCAATGCATATTACTAATCAAAAATTAACTTTTAATATATTTACGGTAGGAAATTTACAAAATATCTTCATGGAACATGATCTTTACTTAATATCCTAATGATTTTTGGCATAAAAGATAAATGTATAATTTTGACCCATACAATGTATTGTTGGCTATTGCTACAAATATACCCCAGCGACTTAACACTGCTTTTGTGCTGCAGGGACACATATGCTGTCAGTATTATGTGGGTTGTCTGAAACGGCATTGGTCTCATGAGAAAAGGTGTCTCGTATTTATTTGTTTAGATGGGCTTATTGCTTGATCTATGAACACATAGTTCAAGGCCCTTTGATGAAAGGTGATATTGTTTGACCATGTGTCAGAAGTTCAGCGTATGCAAATGTTTTAGGCCATACTGGATAAAATTAGCAGTGAAAACATTAGAAACCATCAAATACACCATAAATCCTGTGTGCTTTGATTTTCATGTGTCATGCAACATGCTCTGGAACTGATCAGCTGAGTAAAACTATACAATTCATGCGAGGCCCTTTTCCACCCAGTTTTTCTCGTAATGTGATGGCAGAAGACATAGCCAACCCAAGCACCCCCCTTTTTCGCTTTACAGACTTTGGAAAAACTGACATTTAGTGAAACATCTGCAGCCCTTTCAGAACATTACAAGCCTTCAGCTTCAACAATTTAAGTAATTTCCTGCATGCATTATTCAGTGTTTTTAATCACCGTGCCGTTGCGTGCATAGAGGGCAGAGTGTCATTTTTTCTGAATCTGTTTTATCACCAAATAAGCTGAAGTTGAAGTATCGAAGCATCATAAACAACAGCTGTATTGCACAAGAGTGCTTGGCTTCAGGTGCACCATTATTGGACTTCTGGCTTTTCTTGGATTTGTTGACATGTTTATCTGTTCATCTCATCACAACCTCACAATGAGATTTAAAAAAAAATCAAGTCCTTGAAAGCACTAGGGAAGTAAAGTTTGAACATCTTTAACCTTTAAAAATATTGTAATCTAAAACAATTACCATTGACCAACACAAACAGACTGACCAGAAGGTTAGAATTAAATCTTTAGAATCTTTCCTAAAAGTAAATTTGCTGCATATCATTGTGGAAAGTCCCAGCATATCAGTGGAATATTGGTTATATAAAAAGAAAATGTGGGGCTAAAAAAGGGCCAGATTTATAGAAATGATTTCGTAAATTGACCTCAAGATTGTCCTTCAAGCCTGGCATCATTGCTTCCACTTCTGCTTTCATGTGTCCCAAAGGCTTTCTGGGAAGTCGCGGCCTTGGGTAGTGATTCAGAACCAGTCTACCAGTTCATGGCCTGCTGTTTAACAAGTGGAATAAAACAAAGAAACTGTCCGTGGGAATGCTTAGTGTGCTATTTGCACTGTACAACTCTGGTGATTTTTGCCGGTGCCATTTTTGAGGTTCTTTAAAAAGAGAACTTACCCAAAAATGAAAATTTGCTCACCATTTGCTCACCCTCATGTCATTCCAAACCTGACTTACTTTCTTCTGTGAAACACAAACAATGTTTTGAAAAACGTCTTATCCATATAATGCATTTCTGTAAGAGTAGAGTATTGCATTAGCAACACCAAGGTCATGGATTTGATTCCCAGTGAATGCTTGAATTAAATCAATTAATTGAATTGAATCAGATCTACACTTGAAATGCAATGCAAGTCACTTGAGATAAAAGCATCTGCCAAATGCATAAATGAAGGAAAGGCAATAAAGGGCTAAATAACATAACATTGGATCCCATTGAAGACCTTGTCAAAGACCTTGTAATTTTAGTTTTTAGCCAATGCATTTTAAGCTGTCGCTCTGCATCCCTCTGACCACCTGACTCTTGGGATTGGTCAGAAACAATGTCTGGACACATATTGCGGTCTGATTTACTTCATCTTTATGATTGTTTTGAAACATCACTGTGTTAATCATAGTTTTGGTTCCACTAACTGTTGTTTAGCTTAAGATAACCCAGGCGTTGAGTCATCTGTTTTAAAACAGCCAGAATAACAGCCGTAGTGTGCCAATGATTCATAAATGTCAAGCCCTTCTCTGAGAGCCATGTCGAGTTTCTCCCCTAATACACCCAAATTCAGCTTTACCTAACCTCCTGGAACCGTTTTAGGAGACATGCATTCCTAGTTAAATGTTATCACACACCACAAATCTCCTTTCTGGATGCAGACCAGAAACTGCTGTGAAGTTTACTCAGTGCGTAAAAAGTATTCTCAGGATATGCAGTGTTCTCAGAGCAGCACAGAAAACTGAAAGATTAAAATCGAGACATTCAGAATCGTAAGCTCAGATTCCCAGCACAGATTTTAAAAGAGGTTAGAAAGGTTAGAAACTGAAAGGTTTTTCAGTTGAATTGGAGTGCAGTCATGCATCATCATAGAACGGGATTCATTAACCAAACTGGACAATTGTAATCATTTCTATGAGTTTTTTTTTTTTCTTGACACATTACCATTTTCAGAGCTTCTGAGATTTATTGTAAAAAAAAAACGAGAAGAAGCTTTGACTTTTAAACACCACTCCAACAACCAGCCCCAGCTGTTTGCTAACTATACTTGGCCAGTGAATTAGACCCACTCCCATTCTTTCAAATACACCTCCTTTTTCCCCAATCATGTCAGCCA